CCTGGGGCAGGGCCCTCCCTCTGGCCTGGCCCACGCTCGCTGGGCTGAGGGAGGGGCCCAGGACCACTCCTGCCCTTACCTGGGCCATGAGCTGCCTGGTGAAGGCAGTGTCGGGTGTAAACAGCAGTTTCCCCAGGACCAGTGGCTTCAGACGCCTCCAGAGCAGGCGGGACAGCGGGTGGGTTTCCAGTGACCCCACGAGCTCAGCACAGGCAGGGCCTGGGGTGGGGGCACCATGAGGCCCTGCCCCCATTCCCAGTGCCCCACTTCCCAGACTGGGAACAGAGGTCAGTCACTCACTCAGGCCCTCGTCGGGTAGGGCTGCTGCCGGCTCTTGCCCCGCCAACTCCTTCAGGTGGCTGGCCTTGTACCAGTTGAGGGAGAGCCCCTCTGGGATGCTAGGCCCCTGGGCACTGCAGAGGGCCTCTGATACGGCCTCCAGGGGCCCACCTGCTCCTTGGGGTCTCCGCAGCAGTGCCCGCAGCTCCACCAGGCTGGGCAGTGCCAGGAGCTGGAGAGAGGTCACCAGAGGATGCTGGTAGCCCTCCCTGCCAGCAGCAAGCCTAACCAGGGCTAGGCACCCTGCCAGGAGCACCTTCTCCCTCTCTCCTTCTGCCCGAGCCCCCCAAAAACCTACCAACGGAAGTGCCTGGGCTGCCCTGTCACCGGCCATCCAGGCAGCCTACCCTTTCAGTTTGCTGGCTGGGGTGGACGATGAGCGGGCCGCTTACCTCCTGGGCCAGGTCCTCTGCTGCCTCCACAAAGCTGCTCACGGACTCCTGGACGTGGTCTGGCACAGACCCCAGGGATCCCTGGGGTAAGAAAGACACAGGGGTGAAAATGACCTTGACGGAGTTCTCACTAGGGGTCGAGCACTTTGCCAGGCTCTACTCCGTGCAGGGCCATACTATTATAGACCCCGTTTTACAAACGGGGAAGTAGAGGCTGCAAGGCACGTGGACTCGTTCAAGGTCTCATGGGCTGGACACATGCTAGACACGGCCTGTCTGGGCACTAACAGGACGAGGAACGTCACTCCAGGCGCCAGGGACAGCCCAGGCAAAGGCCTGGAAGCTGGTATCAGAGGCCCCTGCCCCAGGATGGGGAAGTACTGGGACTTCCTGAGAGCAGCTTCCCAGAGTCAGCCTGGTCCCCACCCCATCTCACCTCTCCAAGCAGTGTCCCCAGTAGCTCCATGGTCAGGGGTAGTAGGTCCTGCAGTCGGTCGCTTGGCTGAGGCCGGGCTGGGAGAACACACAGAAGCACAAGCTTAGGCAAAGCCTAGCCTGAGACAGCCCTACCCTGTACCCATTACACAGCTGGGCAGATTGAGGCTCAGAGCGCACCCCCGCCAGCCAAAGGGCCCTGGCCTCCTCACCTGGTCCGCCTGCGGCTCTCAGCACTGGCATCAGCTTTCCCAGGCTGGCCAGCGTTCTGTGGGCACTGGGGCCCCCCAGCACAGCGCGGGCATCTGCCAGGAGCCGGGAGACCCTGGGGACAGAAAGAGCAGGAGGCGGGGGCTCGGCAGACACCCCCGTGCCCGGGGCCCCTGCACCCACTGCCGCTGGCTCACAGGGAGTCCTTGAAGTTGCTGAGGACGCCGGGCTGCTCCCCGGGCGTGGACTGCGGGAAGCAGGTGTTGTTCAGGTTGCAGATGAGACCCTGGAGCCAAGGAACGGTGCCGGCCGAGGGCAGCGGCTTGTTGGGGAAGTGGCCTGTGGGGACGCTGGGTGTGGGGAGCGTTGCCTGAATCCCCACCCTGTTCACCCCCCCCCCCACAGCATGCTCACTCAGACTTTTATTGGGTGCCGGGTCTGTGCTCTCTGATGCTCACTGGGGCCCCTCTGCATAGGGTGGCCCATTGCCTACCCCCCACACACAAAAAAAGCCTCGTCCCTGGGGGGCTTACATTCATGGTGCTCAAGTGGGGGGTGGGAGTGGCGGACGGCCACCAGGATGAAGAAGAGAAAGAGAGGCCACAGCAACTCCACCAAGAGCTGGATCTGGGGGAAGGGCAGAAGAGGCGGGGGAGTGGGGGACAGTGGGGGGCACCCGGGGCCACTACCCCCCGCCCCGGGCCCGTCAGTCCTGGCATTACCGGCTGTCTCCTGCGATACAGGAAATTCTTCCAAAGCAGCAGCATGAGCTGCGTCCAGAAGGCCATGGTGGGGATGGACAGAGCACACGACCGAGCGTCAGGCTGAGGACGTGCTGTGCGGCTGTGGGCGAATCCTGACCCTTTCTGAACCTCATTCCTCTATCCCATGGTGCCGGGTTCCTGGAAGCTCTGCTTGGAGCCAAAGAGTAGGCACTCATTAGAGGGTCTCCTCTGTGCCTGGGGGCGGAGTGAGCCAACGGGAGCCCTGCCCGAAGCCCTCCTCGCACCTGATTGGTTGCCTGGGTTGTCCCTCCCTGCAGGGCGGGGGTCCAAAAGGCTATCCGCTAATTCTTCAAGGGGAGGAGCCTCGGCTCAACTCTGTAGTCACCAGGCTCCACCCTGAGCTCCCGTGGGGGTCTCCAGGTCCCGGCCCCCAGCCTCCTCCCGGGCCCTGGGAAGGAACGCCCCACCCCCGGCTCTTCCCCAGGGGTAAAGGCCAAGGGTTTACCGTGCTGAGCATTTTGCACGCCTGGCTGGAAGCAGGGCCTACCCGGCCCCCCAGAGAGGCAAGCCGAGTCACCTCGCTGGAGGCAGGCGCCCGCTCTACCCGCCCCTCATGTTTATCGCTGAGAAGACCCCCCGCTCTACCCGCCCCTCATGTTTATCGCTGAGAACACCCACAGGATCCCGAGGACGAGTAAGGAGAAGAGGCAGCGATGCGGGCTCCTGGAACCAGCCATTTCTGATGCCGTCCCTTGGCTAGAACTGTCCAGCTCTGGCCTACTTCATTATTGTACCGAAGAGGAACTGGGGCAGGGAGGTGCCACAGGCCACGTACGAGGCTGGAACCAGGACCCAGGACCCCCGACCCCCCACGGCAGGCTCTGCTTTCCCTCAGGTGGGAGCTGGGGCACAGGGCTAGTAGGAACTCTAACGCGCAGAGGCGCTGCAAGTGCATGTTGGCCATCCCCTCTCAGGGGAGTCTACTGCCCAGCCTCCTCCTCGAGAATTAGTGGTCCATCCTGCCGCCCTCACGCTCGGGCGGGGAGCGAAGGTGAGCGAGGGTCTGCACTCCGCCCTCACCCCCTCGTTCCAGGGGAACCTGCCTCCCTCCCACCCGCCCCCGCGCCCCGGCATCCTCGCGTCTGGGAGCCCGGCATCCTCGAGTCTGGGAGCCCGGCATCCTCGAGTCTCGGAGCCCGGCCTCTCTCTCTCCGGGACCCTCTCACCTTTCCAGCCCCCACCTCTTGCCGCCTTCCCTCCGCCCGACCGCGGCCCGGGATCACGGCCCCTTTAAGAGGAAGCTCCCGCTGCTGGCCCTAAGCTCCCTGAAGTTGACCGCCTTCACCTCGGAGGCCCGCGGGCGCGCCCGGCCCCGCCTCCGCCCACTACTATTGGCTGCGGTCCCCGCCACCCGCAGGCCGGGCCTGCGCTAGCCACGCGCGCGGTGGGAGGAGGCCGTGCGGAGCCGGGTTTCTTAAAGGGACCGCTCGCCTCTTGCTGCGTCACCGTGCGGCGCTGGGCGGTCGGCACACCCCACACGGGCTGACCTCCGGACACGCCGACCAGGCTGTCTCCCCACATTGCACACCCGCCTGCAGTGCCGCAGCTCCGTGTCGAAGGAGGTCCCTTTCTCCCCACTCTTCCCTGGGGGACCCGGAGCCTAGCCAGACTCGATCCATGACCCTGGGACTCCCATTTGTCCATCCGCAAAGTGGGGGTTCGATTGGTCATCATTTGTTCATCCCACAAATATTCCTTTGGTCCTACAGTGGGCCAGGAGATGGCAGGAGGGGGAGGGGGCCCCCAACATTCTAAGATTAGAGTCCTGGGTCATAACGTCACACCATTTTGAGGATACCTCGGGGTCCCGTTCCAGAAGATTGAATAGATTTCCGGAGCTCCTGGTGCAGAGGATACAAGTGTACAGCCCTGCAGCCCTGAAGGCAGCGGGAGGGTGAGATGTATGGGGAGGGGTGGGGCTTTGGGGATGAGCGGTGTTTGCCAGGCAGGGAAGTCCAGGCTGAGTGAATGGCACAAGCAGAGGCCTGGAGACTGGACACCAGAGCGCTCTGTGGGGCTGGGAGATCCTGTCCAACCAGCAGGGAGGTACAGCCTCTTCCCCCCCACCTCAGGTCCTGACCTTCAAGTTCCTTCTTCACCTCACATTGCATTCACCCTGCACTCACCTGCCGGCCCTGGGCCTCAGCTCCTCCAAGGCAGCTCTGAGGACCTGCTGGAGAATGGCCTGCCGCCCCACCCCAGGGCCCCAGGGCCCCCCACTGGGACCCAAGACAAACCCCTCCCCCGAGCGGACTCCCAACTCCACAAGCAGTTTCTTCCTTAAAAAGAGGTTTTTATTGCCTTTGGTCCACAGTCAACATTTCACATTATCTCTTGGTCCCAGGGCTCCTGGATGGGGGCCAGTCCCAGGGGAGGACCTCTGGGTGGGGATCCCTGTGTACTTGGCAGAGGAATGGGGACAAGTACAGGAAGGTGGGGGGGGTGGCTTTGCCTCAACCACTCAGAACTCTGTTGTCCTACCTCAGTTTCTCCTCTAGCCCCCGGGGCGAGCCACCGGTGAGTCCAAGAGGGCCAGAGAAATCCAGTTCCTCACAAGACCTCAAATATTTCGGACTGTGACCTGGCGCTCTCCCAGGGGGCCTCCTTCCTTCCCAGCATCCCCTTCCACCATCCCCCCACTGCCTTGCAAAAAAAAAAAATTTCTTCTTTCATTAAAACTGCTTGAAACTTCTGTGGGTACAGAAACCACAAACTGATCAGCAGAGAAAAGGGAAGAGAAGGAGAGGCAACCGGAAACCATTCAGGGTTGGTCCCCTCCCTGCCCCAGTTTCTTCCCCCAAACCCCTGCAGCTCAGCCCAAAGCCTGCTGGGAAACCTGTGGCCCGCATGAGCCCCCCACACCGTGCAGATCTGCATGTGCTTCACCCCTTCCCCACAAGCCCTCAGCTGGTAGCGCTCAGACAAGGAGAAAAACAAGACGAAAACAGAAGAACCCCAAAACCACACGGAGCGATGTGGGGAGACACCCTGCACGGGAACCTCAGTAGTCGGCCTCCTCCTGGTGGTGGTAGGGTGTGTACTCCGGGGCCTCCCCGGGGCCTGGGCAGTCGCCTGCAGCCGCAGAAGCCCCATCGGCCACAGGGCCTTGGGGGCAGTACTTGGGGTCATAGATCTGCCGGCCCAAGCCAAAGACCTGGCCACTCTGGTTGGCGCCCTGCGTGTAACCCATCTGCAGGGACATGGAAGAGTTGTCACACTTGTCGGTCCCCAGCTTGGTGTCGTAGATGTGCCGCCGGGTCCCCGGAGCCGTCATGCCCACCTGGACAGGGAGGAGAGCGCTTCAGGGCTGGAAGAAGATGGGGGGAGGGAGGCCCCGGGAGCCCCCGCCCCAAATTCCCCCACCATCCCCAGCTGTCTCTGCCCTCGGCAGCAGCTCCGATGGGGGCCTTCTCCGCCCCGCTTGGACGCCCTCTCTGTTCTGCCTCTATGCTGAGTTGATCCCCACGACCAGTGACCCCCTCCCTGGGAACCAGGGGCATCTGGGTCCAGCTCTCCCTGCCAGCCAGGAAGCTCCCCAGGTTGGGGCCGAACCCCCCCCCAAGAACCCGAGAGTTTCAAGACCACCCTACAGACACATGCAATGTGCAGGAAAAGTGAGAATCACAGGATCTAAAGATACCAGGGTTGAACGGGCCCCTGGGCAATCCTCTGAGGGAGACTGAGGCCCAGAGCCCAGCAGCAACTTCCCCGGGGACACACAGCAAGCTGAGCAGAGCAGAGAAGGCCCAGGCCGAGAAGCGGAGAGAAATCCAGGGTGGGATTCTCCGTGGGAGGCAGCCATGGGGACGAGGAGGAGACCACGGGGTTTGGCGGGGTGGAGAGGTGGGCGGGGGCTGGGCGGCCGGAGCGGGGGCCCCACCTGGCTAGCACACTTGTTGGTGCCCATCTGGAGGCTGATGGTGGAGTGGTCCATGGGGGGCAGGATATGGTTCTTGGGGTCGTACAGATGCCTTCTTGTGCCATACGCCGTCATGCCCGACTGACTGGCACATTTGTTGGTGCCCATCTGCAGGGCGGTGGGCAGGAGAGGTCAGCTGTCCCCCCCCCGGCCCAGGCCTCTAGGTCCAGCCCCGAACTTGAGGGGGCACGGAGCTGGACAGGGCCCGGGTCCCACCGGCAGCCCCCACCCCACCGTGGCGGGCACAGGGCTGGAGGCCGTGGGCGCCCACCTGGAGCCCAATGACGCACTGGCCCGCCTTCATGGTGGCGTCATCAAAGTTGCGTTCCTGCTTTTCTGAGTATTTGACGCCAATGTCCACGCCACTCTGCAGCCCCTTTGTCTTGGCCTGGAGGGGAGGGGTGCTGGGAGTATCAAGGAGGGGCAGCCGGGACCCTGAGCCAGGCCCAGACCCGTGCCACCCTGGGGATCCGGCTCCAACCGCCCCCGACCCACCTGGCACCCAGCCGTCTCGCCCCAGGGCACAGCTCAGGACAGGAATTCTGGGAGGCGTCCTCACCAGCCACCCTCTGCCTCCTTCCATCACCCCAGCCCTCCAGCGACCCACCTGCTTGCCCGACACCTGCCCCTGCCCCTCGCCCCTCGCTGGTCTCCTCGCCTCCATTCCCCACATGGAGGCCCCAGGGTGCTCCTGAAATGCCATTCCGCACACAGTCCCCTCCTCCTGAAATGCTGTTCCAACCCTGCCTGGTCACTAGACCCCACACATGGCCCGATTCCCCCTTCTTCAGGCTGCTTCTCACAATTTAGAACTTATTTATCATCTATAAGAAAGGGACTGAAGATCGAACCCTAGTGTCTACTCAGGTCTCTGGGGGATGTTGGTGTGTCTGCTGAGGCTCGCGGATTCTGACAAACAGCCCCACTCTGGCACGGGGCGCTGGTGTCAGGGAGGCTGCCTGTCGCCACTGAACCCCAAGGGGCAGGAGGGAATCCAGGGCATCTGTTAGTCCACATGGATCTCGGGGCGGGGCCCCGGGCAGGTCGCTGCCTCTCTCTGGGCCTCACCTTCCCGGCCAGCGCGAGAAGAGACACCTGCACCTGCGTCATGTTCCCGCTCTCAAACAGGTCGTTGGCCTCGAACAGGTCCACAGGGTTCATGCCGTAGCTGACCATGGCCTTGATGAAGGTGGACAGGTTTTCCAGCTGGGCGGAGGGAGGCAGGGGACGGACCGTGAGGCGACCCTGGCCAGCCCACCTGCCGGGTGGAGGAGGTCCCGGCGCCCCCTCCTCGTGCTGCCCCCAGCCCCTCACCTGGTGCCAGTTCTGCATGGAGCGGTTGATCTTGGGGACGGAGCCTGGCTGCAGCTTATTCATGAGCCTGGGGGGACACACGGGGAACCTGCATTACTGTAGGGGAACCTCAGAGACCTGAGACACCACTTCCAGTCTTGGCCACACCCATGCTTCCCCAAGCAGCCTCGCTGCCTCTCTTAGGCCTCAGTTTCCCCTCCTGGGATGCATGCTTCACTGGCAAGGAAGCAGAAGCCCAGGAGCGACGGGGGCCGGTGTCAGCGCCACGGCTGCTGGGGGTGAAGCCGGGAACTCCCAGTCCGCAGGGAAGCGCAGAGGCGCTCCCGCTGCAGGGAGGACGGAAGGTAAGGATGTTCGTCCTCAGTAACACAAGGAAACGAAAGACAAGACCCGAGACCCGTCGCGGGGAGAGTGGGCAGGCTTCCTGCAGTAGGTGGAGCGTGACCGCGGGGCGGGCAGGGCACCCAGCAGCGGCCAGCACACGCACTCACGTGCACAGGATAACTCCGTCTTTCAGACCCTTCTGGAAGTCGGGCCCGATGGAGAGGCCTGTGAGTCCCTCGATCCAGCTGCGGAGCTCTGCCTCCTTCTGGGGGTCGTACTTGGACAGGAGCTGGAGGGGCAGGGGCACGGGAGGGGTGAGCCCAGGGCCGCCGCCCGTGGCAGCTCCAAGGCAAGCAGAGACCCCCACGGACGGCCCTCCCCTTCGCCATCAGCAGCATGGCCATTCGCCGGGCGCAGACACCCCCGGCCAGACACACCCCGGCTCTGGGCGACTCGCTCTGGGCGACTCGCTCTGGGCGACTCGCTCTGGGCGACTTGCGGCGGCGCCAACCCGCCCAGCCCCGTGCGCTCCCTGCACCAGAGAAATTGCCTCGTCTCTGCTGTTTTTAAATGGTTGTGAGATGCACATGACGTTTACCATTTTTACCATTTTAAAGTGAACGGTTCAGTGGTTTTTAATACACTCATGATGTTGTGCAACTACCACCTCATTCTAGTTCCGGAACATTCCATCACCCCAAAAGAAACCCTGTTCCCATCAGCCGTCACTCCCATCCCTCTCCCCAGGCCCTGTCACCTCTAACCCCCTTCCCATCTGTGGATGAGCCTGTTCCGGACGTGTCACCCACGTGGACTCACACCCCGCGTGGCCTTCTGTGTCTGGTTCCCTCCCTGAGCGTCGTGGACTTGGGGTCCGTCCCCGGGGCCGCACGCGTCAACACCTCACCCCTGTTCGAGGCAGAGGGACGTTCCCGTGTGTGGATGGACACATTGTGTTTATCTGTTCATCCATGGATGGACATTTGGGTTGTTTCTACCTTTCGGCTATTGTGAATAATACTGCTATGATCATCCATGTACAAGTTTTCAATTCTTGTGGGTACATATCTAGGAGTGGAATCACTGGGTCACGTGGTAACTATATGTTTAACATACCGAGGAACCACCAAACCCTTCTCTGTTCCTTGAACTGATCATACCAGTTACTGCCACAGGGCCTTTGCACAAGCTGTCACTTCTGACTCAGATGTTCACATGGCTGGGGCCCTCCCGTCAATCCACTCACCAGTCCAGCTTGAAGGTCATGTCCTTGGAGAGGGCTTTCCTGACTACCCCGGCTGTGAAGCTCTCCTCATACCCCTGTCTCTCCGACCCTGCCTTATTTTCCTTCTAGCTTTTATCTTTATAGAATATGTCTCCTTGCTTATGATCCACCCCTCGAACTTCGCCGCCCAGCTCAGTGCTGTCTCCACAGTCCCAGGATAGTGGGATAAAAATGCTCATGGTCCCCCATGAGTGCACACCATTACCCACAAACACGCACACACACCCTGTTCCCAATGGCAGCATCTCAGGGCACCAAAGGCAAAGAAAGCCAGGGGCCCAGGGAAGCCCCAGTAAGTCAGGAAGTCCCAGGCCAGTGTGTCGTGTGGGCAGACACGGTCAGCCCCAGGGCAGCTCCTGGGGAGGGGAGGTAAGAAGCTGAGTCCAGTCCCCGTTCAGCTGCAGACTGTCCAGTTCAGTGGGCTTTTTGCTCTAGACCCACATAGATCCTTGCCCTGGACACTTTCCCTTCCTGTCCTTCTGCCCCCACCAGGGGACCGGGACCCCACAGCCACCCTCTGCAGACCCAATTCCTACTCTCAGCTCTGCTCCCAGCTCCCTTATGACGATGCACACAGTTCTCTCCCCGTGCCTCAGTTTCCCTATCTATGTTTGGAATTGTTTGCACAAGGGCCTCCTGAAGCAGGCCCCACCTCTTGGTTCCTGCATATAAACACCACCCCCCCCCCACCCCTGGCCCCGGGATCAGGACTGGGCTGACCTGAGTGCAGTAGAGACAAAGGCAGGGAGGCTGGCCTGCAAACTTGATCCTCCCCTGCCCCCCCCGCCCCCCCCCCCCACCCCGCCTCCGTCTCCATCTTCTGGTTCCCACAGCCCCGCAGCCCTGCAGCCCTGCCCTGAAGAATGACAAGCTGAGCTTGAGGCAGGCCGGCTCGTCTGGACACCTGGCATACCTGCCCAGCTGGGCCGGGTCCCTGATGGCTCCTGGGGGCCGGGGTCCTGGGCAGAGGCGCCTGGCCAGCCCCGCCTGCAGCAGCCGCCTGCACCCCCCACCCCTGCTGCCCAGCCGGCCTTCAGCACATTCCTCCTCACCGCAAACTGCCAGGAATGCAGCTGCTGCATCCCTGCTAAATCGGGACCAGCTGTTCCCAGAGGTCTAGACCCCCCAGCCGGCCGGAAATCCAGTGACTGCTCAGGGACACGGTGGACATCAGCCTGCCTTCATGCCAACCAGCCTGGGGCAAACTGAGGCACACGGGGCCAGGCAGCGGTCTCCAGAGGTCTTAACGTCCTCTTAAGTAGCTGGTAAAGTGGACAGGGCGTGGGTTTCAAGGCACAGGAAGCTGGTTTCCAATCCTGGTGTGGCCCGAGTGACCGTGACAAGCTAGCCACTGCCCTGCCCATTCTCCAGGCCTGCAAACTGAGGGCTGGTCACAGGGAGCCTTCTGACCTCATCCCAGACAGAGCAGGTCTCAGCACGCCCCAGCCCACTCCATCTGCGGAAGCTGCCTGCACACTGGCCAGGGTGCCACCCACTTCCTGCTGCCCCAGGGGAGATGCAGGGGGCTGCCCACTAGGGCCAGCGGCCATCAGGCGCTGGAGGCAGCGGGTCTCGGTTCGAGTCCTGACTCTGCCGCTCGCAAGCTGTGTGATTCTGGGCAGCTGGTGTGACATCTCTGGGCCCCACGTACAAACCCACGGGGCTCTTAAACTTCTTTGGCGTTAAGCAGGGTAGCACGGGAGCACCTACATCGGTGTCAGTGTGTGAACATTCACCCCATGCCTTTATTGCTGGAGTGGAGAAGGAAGGTTCGGGAGCCTTAGTTCCCCAAGCCTCAGCCTCCTTCTGTCTAAGGAGCTGGAGGGAGGCTCCTGGGAGCTCACAGAGGCCATGCAGTCTCCCTCGGATCCACGACCCCCGCGTGCCTGTGGGGCAGGTGCCCGTGTGGGGCTGGCAGGGCTCTGCCTTCCACATGCCCAGGCAGGCTCCCAGGGGCTGCTGGCTGTGGGGCTACATTCCCAGGTGCCCCGAGAGAGGGTGGGCAGGGATGACAAACTCCCCTCCGGCTGGAACGGCCTTGAGTGACTGGCCTAAGACAACTCCCTGGGTCTGGGAGCACCCCCTGCTCCCCCTTCCCTAGGACGGACCCTGCTGTGTGACCCTCCACAAGCATCTGCCCCTCTCTGAGCCAGATCAACAAGTGCTTTCTCAAAGTGTCTCCCCCAGGCCCCATCCCGTGTTTCTAAGTTACAAAACTCACACCTTTTAGGATTACATTCAGGGGACCCCAGGCATCCTGTAGACCCCTTTGCTATTGCTTTAACTTTGTCAGATGGGGACAAAGAGAAGTTACCAGGGAGCAGCTGGGCAGCCCCCTCCGTGCCAACTTCCCCCTTGGTGACGTCCCCCCCCCCCCGCCAGGTGTTAGAGGTGGGGAAATTCCTGTGGGGGGGCCACACCCTTTCAAAACAGCGCAGGAAGGGCCCCACTCCCTTCCCCTCCTGAAGCTTATGTGGCCAGGGAGCGAGGAGGGGCGGCTGGGGTCCCCGCAGACCCTCTGGGCATTCTCAAGTCCTCGCAGCGCTGGAGGGGCCCGGGCTGTGGGGCTGAGAGTGAGGGGGGGCGGGGTTCCGATGGGGGAGGGCTGGAGGAAGGGGTTAGACCCAACCGCCCCTAGATGTTGGGGGGCGGTGCGGGACCACAGAACTCACCGCTCCCCCGGAGTTGAGGGAGCCTCGGGGACGATGCCCCCCCGGCACAGCAGATGTTAGGGGGAGGAGGGCCATTCTCCTCCCGGGTCTCAGCGCCCACCGCCCGCCACGCGCTGGGGGAGCCGGGCGGGGGTCCCGGCCCTGCGCACGGCGCGGCGTGCGACGGCCTCGGCCGGCGGGCTCGGGGGGCGCGCCCCTCACTCACCCGGTTCTTGACCTCGGCCGACAGCCCGTACGAGGGCCCCTTGTTGAACTGCGTGGAGCTCATGGCTGGCGGGGCGGCGAGACGGGACGGGACGGGACGCGACGGGCGCGCCGGCGGGGGACGCGCGGGCCTGGCCGCCACGCCCCCGCCGCTGATTGGCCCCCGGCGCCCATGTCCTTATAAGGCCGGGACGCGCCGGATTCCTGCGGCCCTCGCTTCCTGAGCCCCCTCGCCGCCCCCGACCCCCGCCCCGGCGGGGCAGCCACCGTCGGCCCCGCGGAACGGCCGGGCCACAGAGGTGCGGAGACCGCCCGAACAAGGCAGTCCTGTCCTCTCCCTGCTGGGAGACCCTCGGCGGCTCTGTCACCCTTTCCGCACCCTTCGGCCCCGTTATTTGGGGCGGGACTCTAATCCCCCTGGGGCACGAATGAGGACCCCTCTCTGTCGCACAGAGGCGCCTCCCGCTCTACCCCCTTCCTGGGAACTTCCACAGCTGGGTGGTGGACAAGGGAACTAGGGCGGGCTCCTCAAAGGAGGGGCCTTTGGAGCTGGGGCTTTGATGGATGAGTAGGAGTTTGCCAGTCCAAAAGGGATAGTGTTCCCGGCAGAGCAAAAGGTGCAAAACCCTGAAGAGACCGTCAGTGGTTGAAAGCACGTAGAGATCGATCAGATAGGTTGGGGAAGGGGGGTTGGAATGAGAAGGGGCTTTGAATTTCCCACTGAGTAATGATAGGAAATGTGGAGGGAGTAGAACAGAGACTTGAGGTCAGGAGATGTCCTGGGGATAGAGCTGAGGCTGTTGAGTTCTCCAGGCCAGGCACACACTTGGTGCTCAACACGTGGTGTGTGCTTGTACAGATACATCAACCAATCAATCAATGACAGAATAAATGAATTTACTTGTTCAGTAATTCATTCATTCATCCATTGACACAACCACTCATTGCTCAAATGCTCCCTGACATGGCTTCTGGGCTATTCCCTTGCTAGGAGATGCTGGCTCGCAGGAGACCTTAGGTCCGTCCCTGCCCATTACTGGAAAGACAAGAGCTGGGCACAGACTCCTACCCCTGCCCCATGTGAGCAAGTGTGGGACAGAAAGAGGAGTCTGAAAGAGGGATGGCGGAAACTGGAGGGGGGAGTGGGGGCTCCAGGAGAGGTGTCAAGGAAAGCTGCATGTAAGAGGGGACATGGGAGATGGGGTTTTAAAGCATGAGTAGGAGTTTGACACATTTGACAAGCAGCTCATTGGGCTCCGTGAGGGCTCAGAGATGACTCACCCCTGCCCTTTCCATGGGAAGCACACCTCCCTAGTTCCCCAACCCCTGGATATCTGTTACCTCTCCACCTCTCATTCTCCCGTTTCTCCAGGGTTCAAGTCCTAGCCGGTGGTCTTGGGTGAGTCCCTTGGGTCTCAGTTTCCTTGTCTGTAAAAAGGGGGAACCAGCACACAGCGAGGAGTCAACAATGAGACAGTGCGGCTCTGAGGGTGGGGAGAGTGCAGTTTGTTGGTGTCTAGGTGGGGAGCTGTGAGGGTGGTAGGATCCTGGAGCAGGGGCAGGGGGGTCAGGTAGACGCCTTGTGGGTCCTGCTGGGGTATGGGAATCAGTGGGACCTACGGTGCGGTGGAGAATGGCATCGGGAAGGGTGCTCAAGCCTGTCCCCTGGCCCCCACCGTAGCCTATGGTGGTCAGTGGCTGCCAGCAACATGCCCATGGGTCTCCTTGCCACGCCCAGCCTCTGGTGCTTGGCCAAGGAGCCGCCAGTGACTCTAGGGACACCATCTGCACTGGGAGGCTCTGGGATGGAGAAGTTGGATGTGACACCTGCCCGTGCCCACTCAGGCAAGCATGTTCGCAGGGTAGTGGCTGCCAGTGTTCTGAGGCGCGGGACCCCCAAACCTCCTAATGTGCTGTCCATCAGGGACAAGGGGGGCCAGCCGGCAGCTCTGCAGCCTCACCACCCCCACCCAGTCGAGCCCTCCAAGTGTGGTTGGGGCGCTGGAGGAGGCCCAGGCTTCCCTTCATAGATTTTAATTAATCCTGGCTTAAAATTAAATTCAGATTTTGCAAAACATCTGAGCACATTTGGAACAACTTGGGGATGTGTGTTTTCCTGTTCAGTGTAAGTTTTACACAATCTAGCTATGGATGAATATTTCCAGAGACACGAGCGTGGGGACTGAGGTGTGTGGGGCGTGGGGAGCGCGCCCCCCAGATTTGGAAGACCTCATGCAGAAGAAGGTATAAATTGGTACCTTGTTAACTTTTCATACAGATTGCGTGCTGAAACACATTACTAAAACTGTTCTCTTTTAGTTAGTTCTTTCAACATGGCTTAAAATTTAAAATCACGTGTGTGGTCAGGCTCATGTTTCTATTGGCCAACGCTGTTCTGGACCCTGGGCCAAATCCAGATTCCAGGTTTGGTATGGTTTTGTTTTTTGGGGGATGGCTCTTGAGCTAACAATTTTTTGGGGGGGGTACATTTTTAAGTGGTTGAAAAGAATCCTCTTCTGCAGCACGTGGAAATCCTACAATATTAAAGTGTCAGCTTCGAGACACAGTTTTACTGCCACCCCGCCGTGCTCATTCATTTACAGCTGCCTTCATGCGACCCCGTCCTGAGCGGAGCTCTCTCTGGGTTGCCAGGCTGAGAATACGGGCTTTTGGCCTTTTACAGAAAATAGTTTGCCCACCTGGGTTCTAGACACTCAACCTCCCAGAACCCAAGAAATCCAGACTCAGACATCCCCAAACTCAGAATCCTGGAGCCTGGAAGCTTAGGACATTATAATTTTCGAAACTTCGCCTGAGGACCTCAGATTTATGGGATTATGCAATTCTGTATAATCCTTTGGCCTCGGTGCCCCCACTTGGAGCCTGGCTTCAAATCCCAACTCCCCACTGGGCTGTGTGATTTCATGCAGCAAAGACACTTGGCGTCTCCAGGCCTCCTCTCCCCATCTGGAAAGCTCCTTGCAGCCCTTGGGTTTGCTGTCAGCGTGAAACGGGTTAATTTGTCAAGCACTTGCAGTACCACAGGGTTATTTAAGATAAGGGTTGTCCAGTCAACACACGTCAGTATCTTAGGAATTCTGGCCTCCGTTGGGAACCTGGCAAGGAGGTCTGGGACCCCTGCAGCCGCCCTCCACCCATGACCCCCAGGGACTCACTCATTCCCCCAGGACAGACCCCTGAGGAGACTGCAGGGGATGTGGAATGATGCAGGACTCAGGGGGAAGGGGGCGTGGGTCCTCCAGGTACTCTGGGGTGGGACCTCAGTGATGCCTGTGGGGCAGGAGGCCACAGTTGGAGGACCTGGGGTTACAGGGCCCCCCAGAGCCTCAGCCTCAGGTACTGGGTTGGGGGCTGGGCCTGGGGTCCTGGTGGCAAACAATCATCTCAGGACACCTGCGGGCAGAACAAGCCCAATGCAGACAACAAAACAGTAACAGTAACAATAGCATCTCAGAGGAGGGAGTGGGGAACCTGTGAAATCAGGCCAGGAGCCTCCCTTGCTCAAAATCAGCCCTGCTCTCCGAGGCCCCCTCCCCGGAGATGTCCTCCAGGACCCCTCCCACTGCTGGGTGAACTCTCCACCACACTGGCCTTCTCACTGTGCCCCAGTCCCGTCTCAGGGCCTTTGCCTTGGCTGTGCCCTCTGCCGATGCTCCGTCTGCCTGGCTCCTTCTCTGCCCTCCCCCCTGTTGGAGGGGGGCCTCCAAGCTTGGAGGGCCAGCTTCTCGGGAGCCTCCCTGAACGCCCCAATTAACTCTCAACCCGCCCCAGACTGGCTTCCCGTCCCCTGGCCACCAGCACACCTCAGACGCCTAGCAGCCGTGCCTACAGCACCCTGGGACACCCAGCCCAGCTTCTCACTTCCCCGACGGTCCCCAGAAGCGTGGGTGTGGTGTGGCATTTGGTCCTATTCTATCGCTTCGGGCTGAGACTTCCAACTCTCCTTGGCCGTTTTTCTTTCTTCGTGAGGGTGGCTTTCCAAGGAGGCCAGCAGTCGTCCACTTGCTTTGGCGGCCCTGAGTTTCTGCCACAGGGCAGGGAGCTCTAGACAGCGCGGCAGCCACAGGGGGCCATTTCAGTGTAAATTATACGCATAAAAATAAATGGCTACATTTCACATGCTGGAGGCCTTGGACCTCGCTGGACAGATGAGCAACTCTCAGTGCCACCCCCCCCACCCCAAGCGAGGCTGGGTTTAGGCTGGGTTTACCTACCCTCCAGGTCAGAGGGACATCTGCCTGCCTCTCTGTTGGGAAAGACAATTTTTTCCTCCCTTTGCAGGTAAAAAGTGATTTGGGAGTAATCCAGTAATTTCAAGAGTGTGCATATATTGAGCTCTATGCCAGGCCCAGCTCTATGTGCAGGGCACTCTATGAAACAGGAAGAGAATGATCTCAGCTTCCCTCCTGGTCGCGGTGGAGTAGGACACCATCTGCGCGGCCATCTTCTGGGTGTGGGGCTCCCAGGATCACAAAACCTGGCGGGTGGATGTGGAAGGTTCTCTCAGCTCCCTGCTCTCAGCTGAAAGGCCTCCTCCCTCTCTGACCACCTCCCCCATATCCTGGACTTTCGCGGAGGCCCGGTCGGCCCGCCTCACAGTGGGATGCTCGCCCTCAGGAACCAGATCACACATCAGTCTCCCTGCGGGTCCTGGAGCTCTGTGAGGGCTCAGGCCCGGGGGCACCCGGAGCCGCCTTCCCCATTTGCAGCAGGCCTGGTGTCCACTGTCTTTGGCCAGGGCAGCCGCTCAGGCGCCCTCATTCCGTGCTCCCTGTGTCCCCCTCCGCTTGTCCTTCCACACTTCCTGTTGCAGCAGGGAGCGTGGCCTGGAAGCACCGGGCATACAGCAGGCACTCAGTGAATGTTCACCCGTTATTTCTTTGGCGGTTGAGCCGCCTTTGGAGGATGACTGAAGGAGGGAGCGCGTGGAGTGTGCTAGGCCGTGCGCTGCCCGGCGGGAGGGCGGGGGAGTGGGCAGGCACACGTCTGAGCCCAGCCGCAGTCAGGAGGACCGCATGCCTGCGGGTCCAGGAACTCCTGCCTGAGTTGCCGGGACTGTTCAGGGACCAGGTCCGCACTGTTCGGGGTCCCGCATT